AATCATTCTATGTCAAAACGAAAAAGCAAAACAGATATTATTTAGCTTAAATAGCATTAGTATAATTGATTGTTTTCTTTGATCAAGATCAAAAAGACCGCACATCTGATTTTTCAATAGAGAAGAAAAAACTTGAATATTACCCAAAATGATGTAGCATATTGTCTCCAATCCATCTTGATAATGAACTATTGAAACTGTGAATATGACAATACTATCAGTTTTTTTTTCTTAAGTTTGTCTTTCTTATATATATACTCTTTTCTTTTTCGTGTCAATTTGCATTTCTACTGTAGTATGTTTGTTCAGAAAATGTTCTTGAAAAGACATAGACACCAAGGTAGGAAATAAAGAAAGAGAAGAGGTGTGTATTTGCTATTCAAGTAAGTATATATCTTATCATTCATTCACATTTTCGACAATCGAAAAATGAACTGCAACTATTACTATTTCTTTTCAGACACACACTTCAATCTTTGATAGGCAAACATCATTGTCGTCTAATTAAAAATGAGACATATATATGTATGTACATGTTAGCATTGATCACATAAGCAAATAGTTTAATATGCTTGTTTAGGAAAGAAAGAGGAAAGTGAATGGAGTGATAAGTTTCTATCTGAGAAAATATGAGTTTTATTTATTGAAATAATAAGTTTTTTTTTCTAAGAAACACGATGACGTGGTAAATGGTTAATAGGTACAAGTGTTAATTGATCATGATCTATTGATGAGATTGTTTCTCGTGGAAGATTTTGTATACTATTGGGTTTTGAATGATGAATATTTTCACAAAGTTTTTCTGTAATTTCTTCTTTTTCTTTATCCTGCATATATGTTGGACGACTTGATGTACAATTTGTACATAATGCAAAATGAAGATCATGTTTAATACGTTCTGTAATTGTTGTTGATTTCTAAAATAATTATAAAACGAATTAATAAAAACGTAAAAATAATAATCTTACTCCATCTAATAATCGACGTCGTTTTGCTTTGAAATAAAATTCTAGAGATGTGACAATAAATGAAAATGAAAGGCCAATAAGTAACATAACAAAAATACCACCTTAATAAATAAAAAAAAGTATTTAGTAAAAAACAAAATATCAGAAAAAATGTTTTACCAATATTTTTTAAATCTAGTTCATTGGTAAAAGATTTCTTTCGCTGATCAATATCAGAATCATCACATTGTTCAGGTATATTACGTTCTTTCCACCATTTTATATATAAATTATTTAGAAAACCATTTTCTTGTAATTGTAAAATTTCATTCGATATACGATCACGATATGGTGAACCATGTGTTGTACCAATTCCATAACTTTTTGATTCAATTAAACCGCCTATATAAATTTTTAAATTACAGTAAAATGTCTATGGGTAAATATTTTATCCTTGGTTTATGAAGGATAGTTTAAATAGCTTATCTGTACTACTCATTGAGTGTCTATGATAAAGTAACTATGTGAAATAATCATTGAGACTGTTGTGCTTAGTCGTGGATTTGTGAAGTTTAGAAATTCAATTCAATGCTCTATAGAGAACTAATTTCTTAAGTAGAAAATCATTACAAATGAGCTATAGTAATATCTATTGGAGAGAAAGAAATGAGATCTTAATGTATTATCAGTTTTCTTTTATTTTTTATTCAATAATCAATAAGAAAGTTACTCAGAATGATTAGTCTGTCCTATCTTTCGTATGAGATTATAGAATCTCTTTGTAATCAATTTGAAAACTTACCAACTTGCATAAGTTCACAATGACGTTGAACATTATATTCATTTGTTGCTGATTCAAGTAAAAAGGCATAATTACGATTTTTAACCCATTCAATACCTTCTTCAGTTGTTTCAGGAAATACTTCAGGTCGAGATGACATATAGTACCACATTCGTTCATAAATTGGAATTTTTGAACTCTATTTAATAATAATTAATCTATCAATAACTTTATATTTCTATTAACATACTCGAAAGAATTGCTCAGTACTTCCGCCTTTCAATGCACCATATTTAATACTAAGCACAAAAGGAAAAGAATATTAACTATGATTTTTTTCTTTGATTACAAAAGACTAACTCAGTTTGTTTAGCTAATGCCTCGATATCATCAATTGGTGATTTAAGACGTTTCGTTGTAAGAAAAGCAGCAAGATTAGCTGTATAAGAAGCAATCATAATCAACGAGAAAAACCACCAAGAACCAATAAGTACACGTGTTGATAAAGAACGTGGACCATAATCAATAGCTACAAAAAAGAAGATTTTATGAACTGAAATAGAAAGAAAGATTTTCCAATACTACTTTGTTTCATTAATGAACCAATCGTAAACCAAAAACAATTGACAATCGTAAATCGATTGATAAGATATTCACTATTACGTTTACATGAATAAGGACTTTGCCATTCATATGGTGAAAAACGTGCCATTGAAAAAAGAAATAAACTAACACCTAAATAAAATTATATATGTATAAAATAAATCTTAAGAAGATCTTTTGACAAACCAATATACGCAATTGCCATAAAAAGCCATACTTCAACTGTTAATGGTTCCAAAAAAGCAAATAACTTTGGTCGAGTTCTCAATGGTTTTCGAAATAAAATTGTTATACCTATTTAAATAGTTATTAAAACAGTTTCCATTAATTTTTTGTTTTACCAAAAGTCATAAATGGTTTTGTGAAATCAATAACTTGTTCTCGAGGATATGTTATTGTTAAAGCTCCTATACCTAAATCTGCTGACTAAAGAAGAAAATATAATTTATTTTCACTAATAAAACAAAAATATTTTACTCGACGAGTAAGTTCACCAATAATTCCGGACCATTGTCCATTTTCATCTTCTTTTCCATATGCAGCATCAGCTGCAATACGAATTGAATAATTAAAATTAAGTCTTCGAGCTATTTCATCAAGCATATCAATACCTAAACAAAAATTTCGAAATAAGAATATCGAAAAAAAACTAAAACCAATTTCTACGAACAATATCCTTCGAAAGAAATTGAACCATTACTATCCAGTTTTCGTACAACATAAGGTTTTTCCTTTGAAATAAAATATAAAAGAAATTTGCAAAAGATAAACTTTTTATTTATTACTTCTCGTGTAACAACTAATAAATGTTTACGAATTTGTGTCATCTGTTGTACACCAAGTGGAGTTATAGTTAAACGATTTGCATTTGTCCATGTACCTATTTCAACCATACCTTGTTCACTTAGATCAAGTATTTTAAGTTGTAATGATCGACGTAAACCTCCCTGATCAAAATCAACTATCCCAGATGAACCCAAAAATTTGATCTATATTATAACAAAAAAAATTAAATTATATTTCGAACCCAGAATGACCTTGAATATAAATATATAGGAATACTTTCACAAAATTAGATGATGTCAGTATTAATTATTTTTTTACAATCATGTATGTTTTTTCAATGATTGATAGAATAAGAAAAGTCATTTTTTAAAAATATGAAAAAGAAATATTCATTGGAGAAGGTATGATGAACAAAAAAAACTTATATATATAATAGATAAATAATAATTCGAAAATAAGTCTATAGATTCAATGATCCTTCAAATTAATCATATACTCAATAAATAGTCATGATTTCCTGATTAACAAAAATTTGATTTATAGAAGCATGATTTCCTTTTCTCATAAATTTCCTATATAGGCAAAAAAAAACACCACAAATAATCATTTCTTATATAACTCAAAACTACTCGTACACATTGACATACGTTCTCAATGCAATTTTGTTATCACGGTAACGAAGAAATAAATTATTCCCTGAAGAATACATAGATACGACAACTGTGATAAGTTCTCTAAAGATTAATCAGTTGATAAAAAGAACATTTTCTCGAGAGAAACTTGTTTATATTCAGATTTCTGAATAAAATAGTGAATTCTCTTTGTTGAATAATTACCGTTCTACTTATATTTAATAATCTTTCTCCAACAAATTGTTTCAATGAAGCATAACTATTTGATGTAATCATCTTATTCCAAGAACATTCTTGTTGTTGAATAATTAGTTCTTTTGGAAAATCATCCTCAAATAACAATTTTCTTAAAATATATTTGACAGTATCAAATGCATCTTTCATTAACGCTAATTCAATCTATAAGATAAAAATAAATCTCTCTCATTCAATTTTATAGCCAGTGGTGCAAACAAACTCGATAGTTTTGTATTGGCTTATTTGACATTAATTGTAAACTAGTTAATTGAACTCCACTTTCATATAAATTTGTCCAATTTAATTGTGTTGCATCCTATTTCATAAGAGAAAATGTAATAATAAGTTTAATTAATAAAATACTTACAACTCCAACAATTAATAAATGATAATAAGTACTTACAATACCTAATTTTTGTGCCTTTTTAAAAGAAAATATAATGAACGATATAGATTTAATATCGTAAACTGCTTACATCAATTAAAAATTGATCAAGTGATTTTTGTGTAATAGCAACAATAATTTTTTTTGTTGGATCCGCTTTATTTCTTAATTCTTTTAATATTGAACGAGATTTTAATGATTCTTTTGTATCAATTGCTAATGCTTTTAAGATAATTGTTGGTTGACGATTATTTTTTACACGTAAAACATCAGATAAAAGGTCAAGACCTTTTGTGAAAAGAAAATATTTATAAAGAAAATAGAAAAAACAAAATTTTTACTTGATTGTTTTTCATAAATAAAAACTAATTCATTTTGATTATAACCCCAATCAAAATGATCAATTATATCACGTATAGCCATACTAAAATGTTCGGAACTTGTTTGCATTTGTAATGTATAACTATTTATTGTATTATTTGCTATCATTGATATAGCTATATGTGGAATATGCATTTGTGAAAGAATTGTATGAATAAATATTGGTGTTTGATAACGAAAATGTGTTATAGCAAATAAATAACTTGTAGTATTTAAAAACTGACATACTAAAAACGAGAAAAATTCATATGAAAAATAAAATTTAGAATAGAAATACATTTTTCAAAGAGTTTTAATTGATTTCGTGATTGATACATAATTGTTTCAATTTGTAATTTTGTATTAGTTTGTAAATATATTGAAGATATCTCCCATTCTTCTTCATATTGATGAATTAATGATTGTATATGGTAATTTAGTAATGGATCATTGTAGTCAATAAAGAGTACTAAAGAAAAAGTGTACAATTACATCGTTATGTTTATAATAAGGATAATATTCTACTGAACAATAAGAAATAGTACTTTTTGTTTGTTTTTATCGAAATATTATGCTCAAGGCAATGTCATTTAATTTACAGTTGATCTAGTGTAACTAATTAGTTCTGTCAGTTTGTTTGAAGGGTTTAAAAATCTAACGTATGCTCCATCATATATTATGAATATCAGTCAAAATGAATAAAAAATGCAAACAAGCATTTGTAACTCAAGGATTTTTTTCTTCTTCTTCTATTGCAAAGAAGATTTTCTATAAATTTTGTAAAGAAAACTTTTTCTAATTTTCGTATACTTAATATCTACTCTTTTGATAAGTAATTGGTTACTTGTCAAAATTAATTATTATAGATAAAGAAGAAAAATGTTCTCTAAAATAAATAGATTAAGCTAATAATATATATTACCAATTGCTACAATTGATCGACGTTGTTGTTTTTGTTGTTGTTGACTAATTGTAATACATATGATGACACATATGATAAAATGCAATAACATCCGACTGTTAATATCAACCATCATCATCTTTACAATCAAATATGTTCGGAAAGCATCTTGCTGTCTTCTATTTTCATCCGAAACTTGAGTCTCTTTCTTTCTTTCTTTCTTCTCCTCTTGTCGTTTTTGAGTGTATAGCAGGAAATCGACTCATAAAAAAAGAAAAAGAAAAGAAAAAGGAGGAGTAGTAGTAGAATAAGAGAAGAAAAGTCAATTGCAATTCTGTTCATATAAAAAAAGACTCACATACACAATAGAAATGTAGACTAAAATAGAATGTCGGAATTCTAGTGGGTGATTTTTCATTGTCTTTTTGTTAGTCTAGTTGATCATTCATTGTCTAATGTTTGTTCATACAGTTAATTATGATAGTTTAATATATAATAAATAAATATTGACTTAAATTTATCTATCTATCTATCTATATATACTTCGATTATTATTCATTCAAGAAGAAAAATGACTGTTTTGCTACTTATTTTTCAATTAGTTTTCTCGCTAGTTATTTTTGATATATCGATGTGATTTGCAATTCACGAACGTAGTGAAGCGAGAGAAAAGAACTTGTTGTTATATTAACTTTGCTTTTCTTATCCTAGATCTTCCCTCTTGACTATATTTAATTTAATTAGTATACAACTGCACGCATACTTAGAGCTTTTTCTCTAATTGAATCTCGGAAAGATAGATAAATCACGTCAAGAAAGGAACATAACTAAAATCAGTATTATCATGCGATGTACATGTATATATACTTAAAATAATGAAACGTATAGATATAATCATTAAATTACAAATCGGTAAGAAGACACCTATTAATTACGATTAAATACATCTAAAAAGAAAGATGTTCTACATTCATATACAATGAGCCAACTGGGATAAATAATTTTTTCTGTAAAGAAAACAAGGTTAAATTATTATATAAACTTGTAGGAATTCACTGAAGAATGTTTTTTTCATAGAAAAAAACCTTGTGTAATACATAATAGGTTTTCCTATTAAAATGCTTGCTATACTTCTTCATTAATACTAATCGTAAACAGTGATACCATTCAATGGTAAGGAAAATTTTATAGGATAATATTGGGTTTGATAAACAATTAATTACTTTTGCAAGTGCATAGATAATATGCCATGACCTTTACTTAATCATTCAGGTAGTAAATAATTGCCAGTAGACAATCATCGACATTCAATAATATGTCTCATTCTTTACACAGAATCTACTAAGATTTTTTGCAAGAAAAAATATTTATATATTTTTAACTATCAAAGAGAGAGTTGGAAATGTATGTACATACATTAGACATAACTACAAAAAGAATAAAAAAATAATCTATTAAAAATTAATAATGTCATTTCACATTTGAAGTAAAGAAACTATCGAATACAATTTCTTGTAAGCATAAAAAGAATTAATACATCGAAAAATCGGATTGTATAAGGATTAGTAATAGTCTTAAAAAGCATTAAAATTATCTTTTGCACTGAATTTGTAATAGTCTTTTATGTGTTCTAATCTAAAAAAAAGATCAATGATTGTATCAGTTTTTTCATGATCATTTGTCAATAAAAAAAATGAGATGTATTATCTACATTTGAACAATCAGATGTCATTATTTAAGTCTCTAAATGATAAAATATATGAAGAGTTTTTATGTAATTTATTATTTTTTACAATAAAAGCTTTTAAACATAATGTAGTTTCTTCTTCAAAACATTAAATTACTCCTACTTTTTTACAGATACTTTAAAAATAAAGATATTCTTACACACATTATTTATATACAATAAGTAGATATTTTTAATTATATGTCTCTCCTTTTGTTCTTTTACAATATGACATATAACAGTAATACGGAAATGAATTATTCGTTCAGTGCATTACTATTTCTACTTTGATTCTTTTATTTAACATTCAATAGTGACGTAATGAACGAATGATTTATTTCCGTATCATTTTATTGAATGTTATACAAAAGAAAATTAAAAATTCTTATTTATTATATAAAGAAATCATTTTGTTTTTACAAATATTTGTGAAAGCTATTTATATGTCTCGTTACTCATCAATCTTTCTGATATGTTAATAATAGAAGCACGTATATAACTTACATAAATTTAAGATTTAGACGTAATCAATCCATCATCGAAAAAATAAGAGTTGTATTTATAAATGTGATGAAAGTGAATATTGAGAGATGTGCATGATCTTTACTATTCATGTCGCACATTTCTGCTATCATCCTATCTTAACTATTACGCTAAATATATTGAGACATGCAACAATATAATTAAATTTAATAGGAAGGAAAACTTTCGTCCTTCGTTCTGTCCCATAAGTATTTATCATAATTTTTGATGCAGTTCATACAAAATATCTTCTTCTTCTTCTTCTTTTTGTAAGTAATCACCCTTTTGGCACTATTTTTCTTACAAGAATAATTGCCCGTTGAATTATTTATTCGTTTTAATGTTTCATTGAAGCGTAAAAAAAGTATAATGATTCATCGATATAAGTCATTGACATACATTTTAAATACTATTTTCGTTTTTTTTTCTGTTCGGTTACGATCGATACGCTTCATTGAATCAACCTTCTATTCTTATTTTATTTATATGTATGTAGAATTAAATAAGTTTTCGATATAAATACTAGATTGTCTTACTAACATAACAACTATTAATGCAATTTTTTTCATCGATTAGAGATAATGAAAATGTAAATATTTAGAGAGAGAAAAAATCTTTCTTTTCATTATTAAAAGATCGATTATATTATTCAATAATGATGAATTATCATATTGCATGGAACAAACGCCTTATAAATAAGTAGTTGGAAATATATCAAATCATAATGATTAATTAAATTATGTGTTATATTTCGATCGTTCGTTCTATCATTTATCAATTAATTTTTTTGTTTGTCGTACGTTATTCTTAAATATCAGTTTATACAATGAAGAAATTAATAGCAATTATATTATCATAGTTTTTATTACTTTATATTAAATTTTTAATAGAATAATATTTAATGGATATGAATGAGTATGTGATACGAAGTGATAGAAGAAATATGATTATTATTTTTATTCTTCTAATTCATTCTCAAGTTCATGGTATTATATCAATCATCGTTAGTTGATAGTGACAATAATATTCATATTAAACTTATGGTTTAATATTCTGGAACATTCGTGTTCTTATCAAAAGAAGAATATGTATATGCTCAGGTAACAGTTTTAAGTCGTAGTTTACGATTTACCAGCATTAGCAGGTGATTATATATGTATATTGATAGTGGAAACAATACGTATTTTCAGTTTTTTATGCATGAAGTACAGTGTAACTTATTTTTTTTAGATTTAATGTAAAAATCAGCATTTATACATTAATAAACATTTTATTATATTCATATGAAATCAAATAATTTCAATCAACAGAAATTAAAAATACAACCAGCCGTTAACTAAGAAACAACTACAGACTCATTGTATTTACTATCCATCATTTAATGAAATATCAGTACTAAATTGGATGATCTGCAAAAAGAAGTTTTTAATTTGCTTCTATACTTGATCTTATCATCATATTCCTATTCTTGAATACAATACACCAATGAAATATCTTTCAAGCATTATAAACATTGTATTTAATACGTTTCAAACAAATTTTTTTCGCTATTTTATATGAGTAGATAGCATTTTTCAAATCGGTTTCTTATTTTTATTCTTTCCTCCATATGTTTATCTTACCCAAAGTATGCTCTACTGATATAATAGTATATATTATATCCAGTGATATTATGTTTTTATCTATTTATCAAATCGCACAATTTAATGTTTTACATCAAGCAACAGCAAGATATGGTCATAAATAAACGACTTGTATAAACAGGATTACGATGCGAATCCGTTGCCCATTTTTATAATAAATATACTACGTATGAATTATTTTCCTTAACCAGTACATTATTGATCAGCAAAACTTCTCTATTTGTCTTATTTGAAAGTTTCCTTCTTTTGATTGTAATATATTGAAATTATGTTGATAATCATAGCAGTGCTCTTAATGTTAAGCTCTTTTTTGAAAGATATAAACATTTCTACTATCCATAATGATACATTTTTCTTAATCAAGAAGAAGACATTGTCACATTTATTACTAAAACAATCTTTTTAATCTTTACTAACATATTTCTAATTATATTGGATAAGAGAAGAATAGAATCTAAAAAAAACTATCCTTTTTCAGTACTTTTCATAAATGAACTCATGTGCGCACTAAAAATTCGATTCTGTAAAGTATCCAACAATGAATGACAATAGTTTGTAAACATTTGACGTTTTCATAAACTGATTTTCTTATAACGTAAAAGTTATCTACAATTCATAGTGTATGATATTATACTTATCTTTGGGGATATTATAATAAGTAGAAACACAACATAATATTTACTCTTCACTGGTTGAGGGTGGGTGTGGGTGTGTGTGGTGTGTGTGTGTGTGTGAGGGTGTGGGTGTGGATGTGAGTGTGGGTGTGAGGGTGTGGGTGTGGATGTGAGTGTGGGTGTGAGTCGGTGTGGATATGGATGCCGAGTTTGTATATGTATATGACTCACATCCACTCCCACACCCACCCACGCCCACTTATACCCTTAAGATGGTCAATATTGAATTCAGTCGAGAGATGAGACTCATTGATGAATTCACGAAGAAGTGACGTTAATTTAGTCGTTCGTGATGTGTAGAAATAATCTTTTGAGTCATCACCAACGCATAAGCATCGAACGGATAAGCGACAATAGTGTTTTCGGTATTGACTAATTTCGGTAGCAGAAGAGGCTTGAAACCTTGAGGTAATGGACACTGTTGCATATCTTCTGGACTCAAGATCAAATCATAACTACGCGTTACAATACTACCGAATAGTACACTGACACGAGGGATATAGGTAGCTATTCGGCCATTTGGTAACAAATCACATTTTATTTCTGTGATTCAAGTGAAAACTATCTTCTTTAAACTTTTTCGCTTTCATCGCATCTCATCGCTTTTTATTCTCTCTCAAAATAAAATAAGTATCTTTTGAAAAGCATGTCCTGAATATTATACTTTAACGAAATCATTCACACCAAGATAAAAAGTGATTAAGAAAAGTTACATTTCAACTATGAAACACATAAAAACCAATATTTTGCAAATTTACCAGAAGATATCGCCCTTTTCAATAATTCAATTCAATGATTTTTATTAAAAAATGATTTCTTTCACCTTCTGTCTAATCTAAATGATAGACTAATTTGATACAGACTTTAAAAAACATCAATTATCACCAGCATTCATTTATTCAAAATCACATTCTTATTCAAAGTTTTATAGAAAATGCTGTTAACTACGCTTCATCGTCATCTCTATTTTCTATATTGTTACCATCACGATCATAACCACTATAACCATCATGATAAAGATTATAACGATCATAAACATCAACATCATCACCGTCACCATAATAAACATAATCAAGATTATCAAGATTAAGATTATAGTCATATTCATCCTGGTTTTGTTTTGGTTTATTTGTGTTTGGAAGGTCCTGTTCTTGTGTCACTAGAGTTACAATAAGAATATTATTTTATTTAGAATTGTTGTAGTAGGCTTATTATAGAAGTGTGATGGCTATATCAATGTTAGTTGGTTATGCTTAGAAGAAGTTGGTGGATCATAGGCAAAATGATATTTTGTTCGGTTTTGGTAAGAATACTAGGAAGTTGTGAGAGTTTTTATTTGAATGTGATATTGTGTTTTCAAAAAGGTAACTATTTCTGTGAGTTTTCATGGAAAGTGTAATTCGAGGAATTTAATGCTGCGAAGAATTTTTGAAATTTGTTGTTGATTATATTTGGATTAATATAGACACGACTCTCGGTTGTTTTTAAAAGTGATGGAGGCTAACATTTTTTGTCAGACACTGTTTACAAGTTTTCGCAGACAGTGATTTTCATTGGAATTTTGATATGCAAATCAGCTTAAATTCTTATGGATGTCCGCAACTGGGCTGTTCTATTTCTTAAGCATAAATTTAATTACAATCACATACTCATTCTGACATTCTGTGAAATTTTTATTTTGTGCATCTATTCGAATAAAGATAACAAAAAATTACTTCGACGCCACTAAACACACTACCATTTGGATGAGTCAATAGAAGTTGTATTCACTAAATTTGGCAGACAATGTGCTATATGCACCGGAATCAACAGAAATTCGGCACTGTCTGCCAGATTCCACAGACAATCTACATTGTGTACTAGCAGGACCAGAAATTCTGTATTGCCAGCCAGACTCGTCAGAAAATGAAACGCAGGAAAGCATTTCTCAGATGTATCTTGGACAAAAATTCTAATAGACACACCTAAAAGATGCGGGGGTGGGGGGGAGCACCCAGTATTCCCCATCACATTGAGAGCCTTGAATATAGAAAGAAATCGGTTTTCGGAATCTATTGAACTCTAATTTTGTGGAAAGTGACCTTTTATTTTTATAAAGTGCAGACAGATGTATTGATTGAAGAGGTATTTTTGAATGATGGTAAAAGCGTAACAAGTTTTCTGAAATGATGGGAAAGAAATGATTTCAAATGGACAGATATAATATTGTCTATTTAAAATATTTGATATTTATGGATATATTTTCAATAACAATGTTTAATAATATTAGGTTTCGCTCGAAAATGAACGATTGTGTTAAATATTCTTTATACACCATTACTTTATGTCATATTTTAGAAAAATGATAGTTTAGCGGATTTCAATGCCGTTTTTCATCTCCTATTACGGTTAGTTTTCATTTTTATAAAGTGATTTTATGTTATTTAACATTTTAACTAAGTTACCTTATTTAATTTGATTTTCAAAACAAAGACGATGATAAAGGTTTGATGAATAATAAAAATATTTATTAACATTTTATTGAAATATTGAATTTCTACTTAAAATTTAAAGTAAATGTCAATATTGAGTTATTGATCGGTTTTATCATTTATTTTCAAGAGTGGAGTGTGTTTCAACGTAGGAATTTTTTCTGTCAGCAAATTCCACTGATAGACAAAAATACTACTGTCTACAGTTGGGTACTAATTTAAAAAGTTCAAAACTCAAGATTCTCTAGAATATCGAACAGGTAATTGTGGAAAACGTGTGGTTCATCTCCAGTGCAACTGAGTACTAGATCAATTTATTAGACGAAATAATACAATGATATTGAAAGAATTTGCTGAAAAATGACGTGAACAATACGAACTGACTGTTTACACTAGCACAATCTCACAAAATTTGCAGTCTAAAATATTCATCTTCAAAAACAGTCACAATCAATTATCATGTAGGAAGACGACAGAACGCAAAAGTTTTCCGAAACCTCTATAGATGATCTTTAAAACGTGAATAAAAGTAGTCAAACAAAATGTTTTACTTCGATAGGTATACGGTACGGCAAAGAAAGTACTCGCTCAATTAAAAGAGCTTTTCATCGGCTACAAAATGGGATATTCAAATTTTTCTGTCTGTAATCAAACAGCAGCGCAAAATGGAAAAAATGTAAATAAAAGCTTAATACTAAACCTTATTAGACTATAGTACTTCTAAGCAGATATAGTTTTCCAGTTATGCTTTGGAAGAGATCCTCTTATGAAATTTTGTAGAGAATTTTACAGACTGTCTTTTGAGAAAATGCAAGTCAAGTTATTGACAACTGGCAACAATATTTAGAAAATAATTGAAGTATAATTCCTTATTGGTAACTCATTCAGTTCTCTACAAATATTTTCAAAGTTGTTCATGCATGTTTTACCTAATGATAAGTCAACTAACATTTGTGCAGGAAACGTTGTCTCGCTTGTCAATCTATTATTTATTAATTATGGCAATCTATCCAACTTCAACATATTTCTATGACAAAACTATAATTTTGTCAATTACTCTAATCTTAATGTGACAGATCAAACGAGAATTGAAATACATAGAAACTATTTTCAAATTATTAAAACTATGATAAAAGATTTTTCTCACTCACCAGACCATTTTTGTCTTAATTGCAAGTGAATCAGATGTTTGTTCTTCTTACGATCGAACTCAACACTTTCCACACTGAAACAAACGCCTGGTGTAACAAGTTCTTCTGCTTCTTTAGGATATTCAGATATTTCACTGAGGTCGGCAATAAAAGCATACAATACTTCCATAATGAATAAAGTATTTCCAAATTTTTCTGCTTCTTCACGATTTCGACTAGTAGATGTATATGCTTGAAATGACCCATATGCCTTGTCATCTTTAGCCATTTCTTCATATTTAGCAATCTGTTCTTCAGTTAGAGTGGCTCCGCGATAAAGTGTCTTTTTGGTTGTAGCTTTTGTATTAAATGGATCATCCCAGAGTAATAAACAAAATGGACCTAATGTACGAACTTTACTTCTCCATGCTTGTTCTTGTTCTTGATCACCTACTAATCTCATCGCTGCATTCAAAGTTTTATACAAGAAACTTTCTAAGGAATAAAGATAAATACAACATTTCCATACTTCCTCGATTCCCATGTTCTTCTTTTCTCTAAGCATTTTAGCTAATTGTTCGGCTTCTCGTTCTTTTCGAATGTGTTTTCCTTCTTCAATAATACCACGAGCAGCTTTTTCGACAAGCATTGGGATCATGTTTGGTTTTTTCGAAGGTAATTCATCTGTTTTAAGGCTCATGTTTCTTCGAACTGCAATTACAAATGGTGACACCCAGCCATATTCACCACCAAATGAACGTCCCGAACTAACAGGAAGATCCATAAAACGTGCTTCTCTTAAATGTTTGTCTTCTCTTTTACGAACTACACGTTTAATAGGCCGTTGTTTGTAATCATCACTATTCAATATTTGGCGATTCGTTTTGAAATCAATATAATAATCATCGAGTTGAGCTCGTGATTGTTTATCTTGAAAGGCTTCTTCGATGATTAAATTTTCTAAATCAGAATAATGACTCCATATAGCTTCTTCAGATTTCAAATAAGGATTTGGATTAGACTGCCACATCCACTCAACAGTTTTTAATGAATTATTTGATGTTGAAGGTGCACATGAAGCCATAATAATTATTTATTTTAATGTTGCTTTTTAATAGTATAAATACGATAACAAACAAGTTTTTATTTTATCTGAAAGTCAAAAAATAAGAAATAATGGTGAAATCAGCAGTGACTTCGATTTTAAAATCTCATTGAATACTGCAGTTCTTTTAAACTCGTTGAAGTTCTATAAAGTTTTCTGAAATTTAAAGAAATCTTTTCAATTATTTGACATCTCAATGAAAGTACAATACAATTCATCTTGAGGGTGTG